CCCATACCTAACAGTGGTCAAACAGAACTTTAAGTACAATAGCACATAGCTGTTAAGCTGCACAGGTGTCAATCACAGCCTTGAGGAAATTCATTGGCATACAGTACTCAGCAAAAAGGAAGCAGTGAAGTGTCTTCACTCGAGACGAAAATATTTCTCATTAAAATGTAAGATCATGGTGAAGCATCTGCTTCTTCAGCTCCAGATTTCTATTTGGCATGGGGAAGAGCCTGAGCAAAGGCACCAGCCCCCAAACAGGCTAATGACAGCAACGGCATGTTTCCAGCAGCAAAGGTGTTCAGCTCCCTCTTGATATGACCTGTTCCTGTCTGAGTTGATGGGAGATGTTTCACTATTGTACAGGGCAGAAACGTGAGCCATAAATGACTCCTCACTCTGGTTGAAATACTGTCCTGCCTCCAGACCTGAAAGTGAATCTCAAACCACACATGAACCACACATGACCTTTTTTACCCCACCTGTTACTTAGGTTCTGTTTTGATACAGCTTAAAAACTGTATTTCTCCAATTTCAATTAGTAAGACTAACATGACTCAAGTAGCTCTAACACTACACTCTCAAAGAATGGTTTATAAGTGCATCTGCATTCATGTTTCTTTGCTCTGACAGCCCTTACTCCCTCTGGGTGGGACTTTATAGGTGAAACATGAGAAGTCCTCAGCCAAACTAAGAAGTTCTACAAACTGTGAGTAACGAGGACCAGATAACAATCATGATTATAAACATACCAACAACATAATGAAGAACCTCAGGGGATTTTTTTGGTGTACTTACAGACAAGCAATTCAAAGAACAACCCACAGGTCCAAAGTAAATCTTACTTCTATCACAAAAAGTGAGTATTTTCAACAAGATAAGGTTCACTTCATGCATACAAAGACTTCAGACCCGCTCTTTGTATGCAGTACTTTGAGCATCTGAGTCAGACAACTGACGTCTCCTGGCTGTGCCGTATGTGAAGACCTCTTCTTCGTGCTGCCAGTCAGATGAACCATTTGCCTGCATTTCACACTGGTACACATCCCCTCCTTCCGAAGTCCCATCTAATCCCTTTTCCTCTACTTTGCTTGCCTTTATCTTCCTCCTTGATTCTCCCCAATTAATAATAGACTAGAAAATCAAGTAATGAAAAAAAGAAAAATCCCTAGAAGTCTCTTGATCATAGGCACCTCCACCCTAGTAATCCAGATTCCTGGACTAGTGAGAAGTCATCACTCCACGTCCAAACGCCCCTCAACTTGCTTGGCTGCTGTCATGTCTGGTGGATGTCAAGAACCAGTAAGATGATGCTCACTGTTCTCCTGTATATGTTTGCATAAATTTCTCTGTGCACTATGGATTTCAAAGGCTTCACAGTGCAGTCTCCTCTTCCACCAGCCTGCAAGGACTGCCCACTCACAATGACCAAAAGCTTCACAGAATCACAGAATGTTCGGGGTTGGAAGGCACCTCTGTGGGTCATCTAGTCCAACCCCCCTGCCGAAGCAGGGTCACCTACAGCAGGCTGCACAGCACCTTGTCCAGGCTGGTTTTGAATATCTCCAAAGAAGGAGAACCCACAACCTCCCTGGGCAACCTGTTCCAGTGCTCCATCACCATCAAAGTAAAAAAGTTCTTCCTCATTTTGCTTCTATTCCAGTTTAAGATCAAGATAAGCTTTATCAAAGTAAGTTGTCAGGTGAAGCATCCATCTTTAGAGACAAAAAGCAAACTATCTGCACACAGGGAGCAAATACATGACTCTTCCAACCTACATCACCACTGTCTGTCTCTCTTTGCCACTCAGCTTTAGAAACCAATATCTCTGTTCTGACACTTCAGATATACACAAGAAACCTCTTGAGGGAATTAAGCCTAAATGGAAAACTCCAGAACAGAGACAACAGAAGAGTGAAGCCCGACCAGACAAAACTTCATCAATGAAAAACCTGAAGATGAGCCTTCTCAGAAGACTCAGCCATACAATCATTTTGTCAGCCTTTTCACTGACAAAGAGGAGGAAATATAGGCAGGACATACGATAGTCTCTTCTTCCCATTTATCTATCTGCAGAAAGTTTGTTTCTTGAATTGTGCGTTTGAGTACACAACTCATTTTGCTTTCTGCTAAGGGCTATTCAGTGTGAAGAGTTCTTCCAGGATCACTGGAAATTCACAACCCCTGTTCTCCAAGGAGAGAGGCCCTGGGCACCCTCTGGCAGTGCACAGACCACTAGAGAGTCAGAGAACCCAGAAAGCTGCAGTCCGCTCCTCCTCTCCACTCCAAAACAAGTTTCCAAACTGACAAATTCAAGTGTTGCCAGAGACCTCCCAGAGCAGAAAGCACAGCAGGTAAAGGTGCCCAGGCTTCGGGGATTGCCCCAAATTGAAACATACATTTTACTGATGGAAAAAAACAAAAATCCCAGTGCAAACATGTACTCTGAAACAGGAGGGAAATGGCAAGGTTTCAGTTTTTCTGTAATGCAGCCTGGGTTTGACAATCCTTAAGGGCAACGAGATGCCCAAAACAAAAGCAGGGCAAGTCACTGCAAGGTGGCTTCTTCACCAGCGAGCTGCATGGTCCTAATTCCTCTCCACACCACACTGAGCACCGTCCTGGGACGCAAACCTTTGCAGCACTTCTGACAGAGCACAGGGAGTGTGCCGTAAGGAAATCCATCCATTTCAACCAGGAATCGGAGTCTACACCTCATTCCCCAGACACTGTAATATAATCCATTCTTAGGTGTTTTTTTATGGAGCCTTCCAGCATGCCAATATAGTCAGATGCAAAGTGAGTCAGAGTATTAGAAAGAACGTGAGATGCCTTGCAAGTAAAAGCACTGCTGCCCAGAAAGCAGATAAAAAGCTGTAAGTGTTGCTTTCAGAAAAATAGGGTGTAAAAATCTCTGCTGTTCCTCTGTGTGCATCCCTGTCCTTGCACTGCAGAGCCAAGTCTCCTCTCACCGGAGCATAGGAAGGCTCCCTTTCCTCATCAACATCACTGTGCTCCCACAAAGGTTCTGCTCTGCCCATTTTTAAAATGGTTATCTAGCTAAAATCTGCAGAGCAATGAGCTTGTGCGTACCTTGCAGCGCAAGGCTGGGGAGACAACCCTGTTTCCCCACAGAATCAACTGGTCCCCATGGCAAGCCACCCAGCAGCACAGCTGGGAGCTCCTGGCCCTGGATGCAAACAACAGCCAAACACCTTCAGATGTTCCCACCACAGCGGGAAGTGAAGTTCAGTGTTAATAGCTGCAACAACGCTCCTTCGCTGGAAACTTGTTAAGCGTGGAAGTTGATAAAAAACCAGTAGAAGGATATTAATTAATACTGGCCTCCAAACAGCATGTGCAGCTCCCAGTGCCCACTCAGTGGAATGGCAGGCAACTAAGCATGGTTAAGGTTAAGATGAGGCACCCAGACTCTGCTACAAGCTCTGACTCAGCTGTTCAGACATACTTCTTGCAGCCAGTCTGCAGGGTATTTACAAGGAAACATCACACACCATTAAGCTATCAAGGAGAAGCTGTGGGAAGAAGGGTCCTGCATCAGTTCCTGAGACAGCACTACTCAGCAAATCAACATGGGTTGCATCATAGGAGTATGACTACTGTAGCTGTTAGTCATCGCTGGCAAACTAGGAGACTAACAGCTATCAGCAGGTGACTATGGCATAAAATTCAACATAAAGAAATCGGGTAAAAAGAACTAATTTCTTCAGAGAGAGGCAGCAACGTATCCACGTTTGCAGGTGGGGTTTCTACCCATGCAAGCCGCCTACATTACGAGATGTCCCAGCAGTATTGACTGGCCTCTGTAGAAGGCCTGGCTGAAGTAAAATGGAATGCTAACTGAGCAAGGAAGAGTTCAGTCTAGAAACCAACAAGTCTTGCTTTAATATTCATGAAATGCAAGACCGTTGGATCAAGGTTATGAGTGGCACTAACCGGAGAAGGCAGCAGTAAATTCTTACAGTTAGTGATATGAGACAGCAAACAAATCAGAGACAGCCCTGAATAGTCTTTCAGAGGCGATATCACCACCCAACTGGATAATAAAAGCTGAGGTACGGGATACACCAGCAAAACCCAGAAATACAGGTGCTGCAGGTTCCAGAAGTGAGCTCCCTCTGACACCAGGTTCTCCTCCGCTCCCAGGTGCCAGAGAGTTATTTGCTGGGCCAAGTAATAAAAGGGCTGGGGAAGGCAGCACACAGCACTCCAAATTTGCAGAGCTCCAACAGCATTTGTTGCTTTGGCATCAGCACTGCCCAAGCAGGGCAACACTGCCTGTCGAGCTGAGTCAGCTCCAGGCACTGGCATGGCATTTACTCAGGGTTTGTAACTCCTGACAAAGCTCAGCCAACTGCTTTGAGCCAGCTCAAGTATCTTAGAACCTACTGCACTTTTTACCCATAAAGGAAGTCTCTTACTGTGCATTCAGCATGACGATGCTTTACTCGGAGCAGCGAAAGCCAGCTCACGGTTTGCGGAAGCGCAGAAGAGCACACTGAAGACAGGGGTTAAACCTGTTGGTACCGGTGAGGAATTTCATCTCTCCCAAAATGCCTACCTGCTGTGAGTTCCTCTCCACGCACAACTGGCCAATAAAAACACAAAATATTTTTGCTATCCTGTTTTCCTAAAGTAAGCTTTTGATACAAGCATTAGGGCAGTTGTTGTGTCTTGTATCCTGATTTTAAAATAGTTCCTGGCTAAAGCCAGGTGACGTACTCAGCTCCAGGGCAACACAGCAACATTAATATTACTCTTGTGTCAGATAACTGGTGACCCTTTACTTAAAAGCAACAAATACCTTCTCCAGTACTACTCTCTTTGGAAGTAAGGGAAA